CAGGCAGGCAGGCAGGTGAGCAGTTAGGAGCCAGCAATCCCGGATTGGGAGAGGCATGTCCAACTGCCACTTTAGTCCTGATCCCTAAACCGGCAGTCGGTCACCCCCCGAGGGGTCCCGGATTGGAGAGGGGGCAGGCCGGCCTGAGGGACACCCCCACCCCCCGCCAGTGCACGAATTTCATGCACCAGGCCTCTAGTCTATGATAAACTCTCATCCGAGGACGCTGTGATGTGGAGCTAACGCATCGCAGTGACCCCAGGATTATCAGCGCAGGTCCCCGCGGAGAGGCGACCGGCCGACCGCTCCCTCTCTCCACCTGAGGCAGGTAAGATCCTGGAGGTCCTGGACCAGGAGGGCCTGGCCAACCACACGCTGATCTATTTCACCTCGGACCACGGGGGCAGCCTGGAGGTGCAGGCCCGCGGGGCGCAGCTGGGCGGCTGGAACGGAGTCTACAAAGGTGAGGCGCAGGGGCTGGGGCGCTTCTGGGGGTGAGGCTGGGCTTGCTCCCACCGCGATGCATGGGCAGGTTTATTTCTTTTTCTTTTCCTTTTTCTTTCTTTCTTTTTCTTTTTCTTCTTAAATATATTTTATTGATTTTTCACAGAGAGGAAGGGAGAGGGAAAGAGAGTTAGAAACATCGATGATGAGAGAGAAACATTGATCAGCTGCCTCCTGCACGCCCCCCACTGGGGATGTGCCCACAACCAAGGTCCATGCCCTTGATCGGAATCGAACCTGGGACCGTTCAGTCTGCAGGCTGACGCTCTATCCACTGAGCCACACCGGTTAGGGCTATTTCTTTTTCATTATTATTATTATTATTATTATTACTAGAGGCCTGGTGCACAAATTTGTGCATGGGTGGGGTCCAGCTGTATTCCCAACACTCTTATTATTATTATTATTTATATTTTATTGATTTTTTACAGAGAGGAAGGGAGAGGGATAGAAAGCCAGAAACATCGATGGGCGAGAAACATCGATCAGCTGCCTCCTGCATGCCTCCTACTGGGGATGTGCCCGCAACCAAGGTACATGCCCTTGACCGGAATCGAACCCAGGACCCTTCAGTCTACAGGCCGACGCTCTATCCACTAAACCACACCAGTCAGGGCAACACTTATTATTATTATTGTGGTTTTTTTTTTTTTACTGTCATTGGATTTTATTTTATTTTTTAAATCTTTATTTTTAAAATTAATTTATTATTTTTAAATATAATTTTTTTATTGATTTCCGAGAGAAAGGGAGAGGAAGAGAGAGATGGAAACATCCATGGTGAGAGAGAATCATGGACCGGCTGCCTCCTGCACGCCCCCTACTGGGGATCGAGCCTGTAACCCGGGCATGTGCCCTTGACCAGGAATCGAACCCGGGACCCTTCATTCCGAAGGCCGGCGCTCTATCCACTGAGCCAAGCCGACTAGGGTGAGAATGAGTTATGAACAGTGAATTTTTTTCATTTCTTAGTGTTCTTGGGGCCTCGTATACAGCATATAAATATACATGGTGACGTATTTATGCATTTCAGTTCTCTATTCTATGTTTTGAAACTCTATTGGCTATTTTTTCATATCCCTTGATATTGTTATTATTATTTTTAAAAATATATATTTTATTGATTGTTTTACAGAGAGGAAGGGAGAGGGATAGAGAGTTAGAAACATCGATGAGAGAGAAACATCGACCAGTGCCTCCTGCACGCCCCCTACCGGGGATGTGCCCGCAACCAAGGTACATGCCCTTGACCAGGAATCGAACCTGGGACCCTTCAGTCCGCAGGCCGACGCTTTTTCCACTGAGCCAGTTAGGGCTCATATTGTTATTATTATTTTTAACAATTTCCTACTGATTTCTTCCTCAGTACTTCTACTCTCTGTTCATTCTTTTATTTTTCTCTTTCATGGATGCCATGTTGTCAATCACTAGATAGAAAGACAGATAGATGATAGATAGATAGATAGATAGATAGATAGACAATTAGATAGATAGATAGATAGATAGATAGATATGATAGATAGATAGATAGATAGATAGATGATAGATAGTTGATAGATAGATAGATAGATAGATAGATAGATAGATAGATAGATGATCGATAGTTGATAGACAGATAATAAATCGATAGATGATGGGTGGATGGATAGATGATAGATGATAGATACATACATAATACATAGGTAATAGATGATAGATTGATACAAAGATAGATGATAGATACATAGACAGGTAGATAAACAGATGATAAATTTATACATAGATAGATGATAGATACATACACACATACACACATACATACATAGATGATAGATACATAAATACATAGATATATAGATAATAGATGATGGATTGATACAAAGATAGGTGATAGATACATAGACAGGTAGATGATAGATTGATATATAGATAGATGATAGACACATAGATACACACATACATACATAGATAATAGATAGGTACAGAGACAGCTAGATTAGATAGATACTGGGGATCTAGCCAACAACCTGGGCATGTGCCCTGACTGGGAATCCAACCTTTGACCTCCTGGTTCAGGGTTCAACGCTCAACCACTGGGTCACACTGGCCGGACGAGATGTCACTTGTTGGAGGCAAGAAGTATAGCTCACGCCCACTTGTATCTCTCTCTCCTTGAGGCTAGCACGCCGCCGTCAATACAACAAGCCAACTTTACATCTCGGTTCCATTTCCCGTTGAGCAGCCCATGATACGGTTGCGTTGAACTTTCATCATCTTCTCTCTTTGCTTCCAGGTGGGAAAGGGATGGGCGGATGGGAAGGGGGCATCCGAGTCCCCGGAATATTCCGCTGGCCGGCCGCGCTGGAGGCTGGGAGAGTCATTGACGAGCCCACCAGCCTCATGGACATCTACCCAACGCTGTCTTTCATCGCTGGAGGAATTTTGCCCGTGGACAGGTAAGAAACCACAGGGCTGGCTCCAAATCTGTGGAGGTAGATTTGAGTTGCATGGGGGCAACCTATATAATAAAAGGCTAATATGCAAATCTACCAAATGGCGGAATGATTGGTTGCTATGATGCGCACTGACCACCAGGGGGCGGACGCTCAATGCAGGAGCTGCCCCCTGGTGGTCAGCGTGCCAGAAGCCAGGCTCACAGCTGGCAAGTTCAGCGGCAGTGCTAAGGATGTCCGACTGATGGTGTGTAGGCCGATGCTCTGACCATTGAGCCACACCGACCAGGGCTATTCTTATTCTTTTTTTTTAAATTTCTTTATTTTTTACAGAGAGGAAGGGAGAGGGACAGAGAGCTAGAAACATCAATGATGAGAGAGAAACATCGATCGGCTGCCTCCTGCATGCCCCCCACTGGGGATGTGCCCGCAACCAAGGTACATGCTCTTGACCGGAATCGAACCCGGGACCCTTCAGTCCGCAGGCCGACGCTCTATCCACTGAGCAAACCAGTCAGGGCTATTCTTATTCTTTTAAATATATTTTTATTGATTTCAGAGAGGAAGGGAGAGAGAGAGAGAGATAGAAACACCCATGACGAGAGAGAATCATGGATCGGCTGCCTCCTGCATGCCCCCTACTGGGGATCGAGCTTACAACCCCGGGTATGTGCCCTTGACCGGGAATTGAACCTTGACCTCCTGGTTCATAGGTTGATGCTCAACCACTGAGCCATGCCAGCCGGGCATGGGTTTAATTTTATGATTTAAGGGAGAGAGAGAGAGAGAGAGAGAGAGAGAGTGTTCCACTTATTGATGCATTCATTAATTGACAATTTTTTATTAAAAAATGTGAAACTTTAGGCTTCCTCCTCCTCATCTCCTCCAACTCCTTCTCCTTCTCCTCCTTCCTCTCTCTCTTCCTCCTCCATCTCCCCCTCCTCTTCTGCCTTCCCTTATAAGACAGGAGACTTGCCCTAACCAGTGTGGCTCAGTGGATAGAGCATCGGCCTGCGGACTCAAGGGTCCCGGGTTCGATTCCAGTCAAGGGCATGTACCTTGGTTGTGGGCACATCCCCAGTGGGGGGCGTGCAGGAGGCAGCCGATCGATGTTTCTCTCTCATCAATGTTTCTAACTCTCTGTCCCTCTCCCTTCCTCTCTGTAAGAAAAAATCAATAAAATATATTTAAAAATAAAAATAAATTATATAAAAAAAGACAGGAGACTAAACCCCAACTTCCTCACCACCTCCTGCCTTTTCCTCTCCCTCCTCAGAGTGATCGACCGCCAGAACCTGATGCCTCTGCTGGAGGGCCGGGCGCGCCACTCGAACCATGAGTTCCTCTTCCACTACTGTGGGGTGTACCTGCACGCCGTCAGGTGGCATCAGAAAGACTGTGAGTACCAAGATGGAAAACACGTGGGTGTGTGACAGCGACATAGTCCTTTCTCCTTTTAATCTTGAACGATGGCCCTGCTGGATAGAGTCATCTTGGTCTCAGATCCTTGCCTTCCATTCCCTTCTGGCCTGTGGAGTTTCTCATGAGAAGTCAGGGGACAGCCTTATGGGAGCTCCTTTGCATGTAACTGCTTGCTTTCCTCCTGCTGCCTTCAAGATTCTTTTTTATTTTTAAATATATTTTGTTGATTTTTTCACAGAGAGGAAGGGAGAAGGACAGAGAGCCAGAAACATCGATGAGAGAGAAACATCAATCAGCTGCCTCCTGCACGCTCCCCTCCCCCCACTGGGAATGTGCCCACAACTAAGGGACATGCCCTTGACTGGAATCGAACCTGGGACCCTTGAGTCCGCAGGCCGACACTCTATCCGCTGAGCTAAACTGGCTAGGGATGACTTCAAGATTCTTGCTTTGCCTTCAATTTTTGGCATTTTCATGGCGATGTCTGGGCCTGTTTGGGTTCTTCTTGTTTGGGGTTCTCCGTGCCTCCTGACCATGTGTGACCTTTTTCCTTTACCAGGTCAGGGAAGTTTTCCGCCATTATTTCTTCAAACTCGTTCTCTGTTCCGCTCTCCCTTTCTGCCTCTTCTGACACTCCCACTATTCGAGCATTGTTACGTTTCATATTGTCCCACAGCTCCCTTAACCTCTCTCCTTTTAATCGGCGAAGGGAGAGGGCAGCAGAGTTATGCCATATGAACAATAACACCCAACCAGGAAGACTCTTTTCCTTAGGAAAGTTATGTAAGCAGCCATACTACAGTAAGATTATACTACAGTAAGATTATAGAGGTATGTGTCTGTCTGTCTGTCTGCCTCTGTGTGTATTAGCTCCTATGCATGAATACAGGGAGAGAGAGAGAGAGAGAGAGAGAGAGAGAGAGAGAGAGAGAGAATACAAATGCTCACAATGAAGAACATTGAAAAAAATGAGCAACAGGAAGTGAACTTTATTCTTCCTCCGTCACTAACTTCCTCTGTATTTTTTTTTGGGGGGGGGTAATCCTCACCCAAAGATATTTTTTCTCATTAAATTTCAGAGAGGGTGGAAGGGAGGGAGAGAGACACACAGAGAGAAACATCGATGTGAGAGAGACAGATTGATTGGTTTCCTCCTGCACGCACTCCGCAACTGGGACTGGGGATCGACCCTGCAACTGAGGTGCGTGCCCTTGACTGGAATCGAACATTGGACAAGTGGCACGTACCTCAGTCTGCGGGCTGGCTCTCTATCCACTGAGCCAAACCGTCTAGGAGCTGCCTCTTTTAAAAATATTTTTTGTCAGGAAAAAAAAATACATTATAAAACACCCCCCCCCAAAAAAAAAAGTTCGATTCCCGGTCAGGGCACATGCCTGGGTTGGAGGCTCGATTCCCAGTAGGTGGTGTGCAGGAGGCAGCCTGTCAATGTTTCTCTATTGATGTTTCTCTCTCTCTCTCTCTCTCTCTCTCTCTCTCTCTCTCTCTCTTTCTCTCCCTCTCCCTTCCTCAATGAAATCAATAAAAAATATTTTTAAAAGGGGGTAAGAGCCGAAACCGGTTTGGCTCAGTGGATAGAGCGTCGGCCTGCGGACTGAAAGGTCCCAGGTTCGATTCCGGTCAAGGGCATGTACCTTGGTTTCGGGCACATCCCCAGTAGGAGATGTGCAGGAGGCAGCTGATCGATATTTCTCTCTCATCGATGTTTCTGACTCTCTATCTCTCTCCCTTCCTCTCTGTAAAAAATCAATAAAATATATTTATAAAAAAATAAATAAATAATAAATAAATAAATAAAAGGGGGTAAGAGATCAACCAAAGGATTTGTATGCATGCATATGAGCATAACCCATGGACACAGACAGTACAGGGGTGAGGGCATGTGCTGGGGGGTCGGAGTAGCTGGGGAAAGATCAATGTAGGGGAAAAAGGAGACTCAGGTAATACTTTAAACGATAAAGAATTTAAATTAAACAAAAGAAAGAAATAAAAAATTGAGCAAAGTGATGTATTTAAAAGATTGTGTTTAATAGGGCCTTATCCTATATAGCAAAAGCCCAATATGCTAAGTGTCTGGTTGTCTGGTTGCCCGTTCAACCAATCAAAGCGTAATATGCTAATGATATGCTAAGGCTGCTCAACTCTCGCTATGACATGCACTGACCACCAGGGGGCAGACAGTCAACGGGTCAACCAGCTGCTATGACGTACACTGACCACCAGGGGGCAGACTGTCGACTGGTCGACCAGTCGCTATGATGTGTACTGACCACCAGGGGCCAGACTGTCAACTGGTCGACCAGTCGCTATGACGTGCACTGACCACCAGGGGGCAGACAGTTGACGGGTCCACCAGTCACTATGACGTGCACTGACCACCAGGGGGCAGATGCTCTGACTGGTAGGTTAGCTTGCTGCTGGGGTCCTGCTAATCGGGACTGAGTGAGACGGGCCGGACACGCCCTGGAGCCCTCCCACAGTCCCTCCCCGGCTGGCCAACCTTCCACGGCCCTCCCCAGCCCCGATCATCCCCCGGTGGGGTCCCTCGTCCTGGCCTGCACCCTGTTTCAATCTGGGACCCCTCGGGGGATGTCGGAGAGCCGGTTTTGGCCCGATCCAACAGGCCAGGCTGAGGGAACCCACAGGTGCACAAATTCGTGCACCGGGCCTCTAGTAATAATATAATGTTCAAATTACACATAATTGGTGTTCAGTAAATTTGGGGGATGAGTACATTAATAAAGAATATTCATGCCCTCCCTCCAAAAAAATGCTCAAACAATCACAAATATGGCCTCCCTGCCCTAACCTGTTTGGCTCAGTGGATAGAGCGTCGGCCTGCAGACTGAAGGGTCCCGGGTTCGATTCCGGTCAAGGGCGTGTACCTTTGTTGCGGGCACATCCCCAGTAGGGAGTGTGCAGGAGGCAGCTGATCGATGTTTTTCTCTCATGGATGTTCCTAACTCTCTGTCCCTCTCCCTTCCTCTCTGTAAAAAATCAATAAAAAATATATTAAAAAAAATACGGCATCCCCATGGGTGTCTGTTCTTTCCAGGTGGCACCGTGTGGAAGGTTCATTATGTGACGCCCAACTTTTCGCTGGCGGGAGCCGGTGCCTGCTATGCCCGTGGGATCTGCTCCTGTACTCGAGACGTCACCTACCACGACCCTCCCCTGCTCTTCAATATCTCGAGGGACCCCTCCGAGAGCCAACCTCTCAGCCCAGACAACGAGGCGTTATTTGACTCCGTGGTCCAGAAAATCGAGGAGGCCGTCCATGGGCACCGCCGCACGCTCGCCCCAGCCCCCCAGCAGCTGTCCGTGTTCAACTCCCTCTGGAAACCCTGGCTGCAGCCCTGCTGTGGGAACTTCCCCCTCTGTGGGTGTGACAAGGAAGACGACATGGAAGCCGGTGTGTGAGTAGCAGACTAGGGATGCTTGTTACCAAGCGGCAACGCGCTGTTACAAAGATCGGCCGGAGCCAAGCTCAGCTGACTCGCTTAATCCGTTTGAAATCAAGGATGATGCCCTAGCCCTGGCCGGTGTGGCTCAGTGGATAGAGCATCGGACTGCAGACCAAAAGGGTCTCGGTTTCGATTCTGGTCAAGGCCATGTGCCTCGGTGGCAGGCTCTTCCCCGGCCTGGGCCCTGGTCAAGATGCGTGCAGGAGGCAACCAACCAATGTGTTTCTCTCACATCGATGGTTCTCTCTGTCTCTCCCTCTCTCTTCCACTCTCTCTAAAAAATCAATGGAAAAAAATCCTCAGATGAGGGTAAAAAAAATAATAAATCTATAATAATAAAAGTGTCATATGCTAATTAGACCGACAGCCGAACGACCTTCTGGATGCCATTCCGGACGTCCTTCTGGACGAAGCTGCAGTGGTGGGGGCTGAGGCAGAGGCTGTTAGGGGTGATCAGGCAGGCAGGTGAGCGGTTACGGGTGATCAGGCAGGCAGGTGAGCAGTTAGGGGTGATCAGGCAGGCAGGTGAGCAGTTAGGGGTGATCAGGCAGGCAGGCGAGCGGTTAGGGGTGGTCAGGCAGGCAGGCGAGCGGTTAGGGGTGATCAGGCAGGCAGGCGAGTGGTTAGGGGCGATCAGGCAGGCTGGTGAGTGGTTAGGGGCGATCAGGCAAGCAGGTGAGTGGTTAGGGGCGATCAGGCAGGCAGGTGAGCGGTTAGGGGCAATCAGGCAGGCAGGCAAGTGGTTAGGGGTGATCAGGCAGGCAGGCGAGTGGTTGGGGCAATCAGGCAGGCAAGTGAGCGTTTAGGGGTGATCAGGCAGGCAAGTGAGTGGTTAGGGGCGATCAGGCAGGCAGGTGAGCGGTTAGGGGTGATCAAGAAGGCAGGCAGGCCAGTGGTTAGGAGCCAGCTGTCCCGGATTGTGAGATGGATGTCCGACTGCCATTTTAGGCCCGATCCCCTGAGGGTATTGCACCCGATTGCGAGAGGGTGTAGTCCGGGCTGAGAGACACCCCCCCCTCCATGCACGAATTTTGTGCACTGGGCCTCCTGGTTCATAGGTTGATGCTGAATCACTGAGCCAAACCAGCCAGCGCTGGGTTTTTTTTTGTTGTTGTTTGTTTGTTTGTTTTTAACACTCCACAAAAGTAGGGGAGGTAGGTCTCACCGCCCCCATTTTTGTAAAAGGAAAAATGAGTTGCACAGCGTTGAAGCAAAAGCCTGAATTGATCCAGACGATAAGGCCAGGGCGGGAGTTGAAAAGGCATCATCGCTTCTCTGATCCGTGGATGGCAAATCATGGCATGATACCTCCTGAATGAGAAGTGGGGGGGGGGGGGCATGATGTCCTAGCGTTCATACTGGTGGCTGCAGATACCATGCTGTCGGGCTGGTGTATTTAAAGAGTTCCCAGGAAATCTCATCACCAGCAATTTGAGATATCTCATCTGTGTTTTTGTTAAAAAGAAAGAAAGAAAGAAAGAAAGAAAGAAAGAAAGAAAGAAAGAAAGAAAGAAAGAAAGAAAGAAAGAAAGAAACTGGAAACCTATTTTTTTTTCCCCACAGACACCTGTAACTAATAAAAAAAAGTGATGTTGACTGGAAAGTGTCCTTGAGCCCTAGCTGGTGTGGCTCAGTGGATAGAGCTTCGGCCTGTGGGCTGAAGGGTCTTGGGTTTGATTCTGGGTCAAGGGCACATGCCCGGGTTGCGGGCTCCATCCCCAGTAGGGGGCGTGCAGGGGGCAGCCGATCCGTGATTCTCTCTCTTCATTGATATTTCTTTCTCTCTCTCCTTCTTCCTTCCTCTCTGAGATGAAGAAAAATATATATTTAAATTTTAAAAAATATTCCTAGCTAGGGTTGCTCAGTGGATAGAGCGTCGGTCTGTGAACTGAAGGGTCCTGGGTGCGATTCTGGGTCAAGGGCACATGCCTGGGTTGCAGGCTTGATCCCCAGTAGGGGGCTTGCAGGAGGAAGACGATGTATGATTCTGTCATCCTCTCTCTCTCTCTCTCTCTCTCTCTCTCTCTCTCTCTCCCTCTTCCACTGTATGTGAACATCAACAGAAGAAATATCCTCATGGGGTGATTAACAACAACAAAACTATTAAGAAGAAGATTTTTAAAACCAGTTTAACTCTTTGAAATCTATTTGAAAAGGAGCCAGGAGACCTTAACTTGGTGCCAACCCCTGTCCCCGAACCGCGTACCATGATCTGACCTCGTTTTGAAACAACGTTCTCTTGCACCTGTGACCTGCTCCCAGGATCAGCTCCCAGGACAACGGTTGCAACGTGAATCCCTATGTCCTGTGCCAGCACGGCCAAGGGTGAGCCTGAGGAGGGGCCGTGAGGGATGCAAGAAAAGACCGACAAAGAGAATACAGCTGGGGCCTGGTAGATCTCCCGTGCCTGGATGAGGACACCCAAGACCCAGCCTGCACGCCGATGTTTTATTTTATCGTCCGATGAAAACAAGGGTAAGATGAACACGTCTACAGATGTTCTTGTGTTGGCAACACTTGCTGCACCTCCCACAGCCCATTCCCTACGTAGGAAGGAATTAGGGAGGCCTACAGGGTCAGGCTGCATCATACCAGGAGAGCTCTGGTCTGGGACTTGTCTATGGCCCTGCCATAGGTCAGCCCGAGGCTTGACCCGAGAGCTGCTCCCTACAATCCCGTCCGACCGGTGTCCCTGTCCTCGGGGTCCAGTTGGACACAGATGTGGGGAGAGAAAGGAGGGGGAAGGCCAGGTGGAGAGGGAGGCAGGGGTGGCCTGAGGTGCCTACGGGCCAGGCGGCCAACGCCAAGGATGGCCAAGGAAGCCGCAAGAACCCGGGAGAGAGACGGGGGACGGATGCTCGCTTGGATCTCCCGGGAAGAAAACCCCCCCTGCCCAGGTCTCCAGCTCAGACCTCCCTTGCAGCTCACCATCCAGAAATCCATCTGGCCTTCCTTATCTGCATCTGAGTTGGATTAGGAAACATCTGAGCCAGGCTCTGAGCTAAGCTCTTCAGCCTGTGGCCCTGGTTTGCTTAACAGGAGCTGTTAGGTTTACCCTGAGGTCATGCAAGAGAATGACATGACAGCCCTGGCCGGTGTGGCTCAGTGGATAGAGCATCGGCCTGCGGACTGAAGGGTCCTGGGTTCGATTCCCAGTCAAGGGCACATGCCCAGGTTGTGGGCTCCATCCCCAGTGGGGGGCATGCAGGAGGCAGCTGATTCATGATTCTCTCTCATCATGGATGTGAATATCTCTCCCTCTCCCTTCCTCTCTGAAATCAATAAAAAAATATTGAACTGACTTTCATATGAAAGCCAGGAGAGCAGGAAGTTGTGTAGGTTGAACTACTGGGTATGAAAGCCAGGCCTACAGGAAGCTTGCATGTCTTGCCTGGGTGGGTACAGTTGTCCTTGAACTGACTGTAGCCATTAAAACGAGGACTCCAGGAAGTTGGGGTTGAGTGTGTCACTTGGGTGGGTGGAGACGTTCTCGACTGACCATTGGTATGAAATCCAGGACTATATGAAGCTGAGTGTCTTACTTGGGTGGGTACAGTCGTTCTTGAATGACTGTTTGAGAGCCAAGACCATAGGAAGTTGGGTTGAGTGTGTCACTTGGGTGGGTATAGATGTCCTTGATTGACTGTTGGTAGGAAAGCCAGACCTCCAGGAAGTTGGGTTGAGACCCCACTTGGGTGGGTGTAGATGTCCTTGAATGAGTGTTGATATGGAAGCCGGGACTCCAGGGAGTTGGGTTGAGTGTGTCACTTGGGTGGGTACAGTCGCCCTTGAACTGGCTGTTGGAATGGAAGCCAGGACTACAGGAAGTTAGCTTGAGTGTGTCACTTGTGTGGGTGTAGACGACCTTGAACTAATTGTTGGTATTGAAGCCACGCCTACAGGAAGTTGGGTTGAGTGTGTCACTTGGGTGAGTGTAGACATCCTTAAACTGACTGTTGGTATGAAAGCCAGGCCTACAGGGAATTGGGTTGAGATCCCACTTGGGTGGGTGTAGACGACCTTGAACCAATTGTTGGTATGGAAGCCAAGACTACAGGAAGTTGGATTGGATGTAGACATTCTTGAATGGCTGTTGGTAGACGTCATTAAACTGGCTGTTGGTAGGAAAGCCAGGGCTACAGGAAGTTGGGTTGAGTGTGTCCCTTGGGTGGGTGTAGATGTCCTTGAACTAATTGTTGGTATGGAAGCCAGGACTCCAGGGAGTTGGGTTGAGATCCCACTTGGGTGGGTGTAGACGACCTTGAACAAATTGTTAGTATGGAAGCCAAGACTATAGGAAGTTGGGTTGAGTGTGTCACTTGGGTGAGTGTAGACGTTCTTGAATGACTGTTGACATGGAAGCTGGGACTACAGGAAGTTGGCTTGAGTGTGTCACTTGTGTGGGTGTAGACGACCTTGAACTAATTGTTGGTATTGAAGCCACGCCTACAGGAAGTTGGGTTGAGATCCCACTTGGGTGGGTGTATACGGCCTTGAACTAATTGTTGGTATAGAAGCCAGGCCTACAGGAATTTGGTTTGAGATCACACTTGGGTGGGTGTAGACAACCTTGAACAAATTGTTGGTATGGAAGCCAAGACTATAGGAAGTTGGGTTGAGTGTGTCACTTGGGTGGGTGTAGATGTCCTTGAATGACTATTGGTTTGGAAGCCGGGATGACAGGAAGTTGGGTTGAGTGTTTCACTTGGGTGAGTGTAGGCATCCTTGAATTATTGTTGGTATGAACACCAGGACTCCAGGAAGTTGGGTTGAGATCCCACTTGGGTGGGTGTAGACGACCTTGAATTAATTGTTGGTATTGAAGCCAAGCCTATAGGAATTTGGGTTGAAATCCCACTTGGGTGGGTGTAGACAACCTTGAACAAATTGCTGGTATGGAAGCCAAGACTATAGGAAGTTGGGTTGAGTGTGTCACTTGGGTGAGTGTAGACGTTCTTGAATGACTGTTGGTATGGAAGCTGGGACTACAGGAAGTTGGCTTGAGTGTGTCACTTTGGTGAGTGTAGACATCCTTAAACTGACTGTTGGTATGAAAGCCAGGACTCCAGGGAGTTGGGTTGAGATCCCACTTGGGTGGGTGTAGATGACCTTGAACTAATTGTTGGTATGGAAGCCAAGACTACAGGAAGTTGGGTTGGATGTAGAC